GAATGCTGAATCGAATGTTCAAGTACAAGTACAAGTACAAGTACAAGTGCGGTACAAGTAACCCAACTGCGTTCAAAAAATTTAGACAGCGATCTAATTTACCTGAAATTTTAGCTTTTCACCTCAATACTGAACAGCTCCCATGGATGCATTTGGGTTTTGCTTACCGGTGCGCGAAGCGTGCCGTGCGTATTTTGCGCCTGGTCCCGAGCTGAGCTGCCCAGCTTAAAGTGAATGAGGTAAATATAATAAAAATAACGATGATAATAATAAATAAAATATATATAACAATGTTTAAAAATGGTAAAGTACATTAAAACATGAGGACTTTGAAGCAGGCATCAGATATGATGAAATAAACTCACTGACGACCATCGGTATGTTCTTAAGTGAAACGGGCTGCTCTAGACAACAGAGGTTCTCTTTTTGGTAAGTATGCTCCTCAATATGTCATTGTTTGATTGCGAGATAGATGGTTTGTATGGCTGCGCTCACTCGTAGTTCTGCAATCCCGAGGGGTGGCAGCACGGGGTGGAAGTGTTCGCTAAGCCAAATATCGTTACGTGGTCGTGTTTTGCCCGCTTCTTGTGGTGTTCTGGCATATTAGTCCCTGAGTTCAAGATGTTGACTTGTATTCACATGATCGATTATGGCGTTATGTAGCACAAAACTTAAGTCGTGTTGGAATCTTCCATAGCTTGCAAAACATTAGCTGACAGCCAATTGACGACCGTTATATCTGGAAATCGTCCTCACGAACGCCAGATGCAGCCAACTCGACAGTTATGTTGAATGACCTTGAACCCTGCATGGCTATTATGAATGGCAAGATTTGAATGACGTTATTATTGCGTCATAAATATCCGGGTAACTCTTAAATAGTCCGCACGAAACAGTCTACCTCTTCACGGGCATGTGGCTAAAAACAAGAAAGTTTTTGGTCTTCAAAAGGGCAGGGCTGTAAACTGTACCGAATGATCTTCAAGACGGCTTTATTTGTCCAAACCCCATACAATTGTAGAACACTCCCTTCAACGGATGGGGTTCACCTTCCATCCTGTCTCCAGACAAAACAGTGGAGGGTATTATGCATCGTGCAAAGCAACAGCACGGCCACGACGGCTGGGATGACCTCGTTGGCATGCCGCCAATTAACACCACCGTATCAATCGGACTAAAGAACGCACTACTTTGGGATTCACGCCCAATACTCCTGGATGACGAGTGCAGCACCTTTTCCCAGGCCAAGTGGGTGGATCGAACTGACTCCAAGTTGGCAGCGCATTCGCACTAATTCCAGAACTGAGCATTGCCCGCTTAACTAAAAACGGAGTACGTCGACCATGCTCGCATCTATGTTTAGTCAAACCTGAGATACACGCCGTGGACTGAGAGCATACCGATCCCGGTAGGCATTCCGCGCGGTGAGCCGGGGTCAGAGCCAATTTCGCTGAAGCGGAGGCAGGCTCGGATGCAGAGAACTCACAACCGCAAGAGGATTTCGATGTTCGGACAGGATGAATAAATGTATTTTGAGAAAATAACGGCTCGTTGGACTGACTTCGGGTGGTCATCGCACTGAGATCAACTGGTGACGCTATCAGAACGTAAACAAAAAGTGAGAAGCGAAGCAAAAAGCTGGGCCCATTCCACCACATACCCACTTGCCGAAGCAACACACAATCGCACGCTTATTTCTACCCACATCCGTGCCCTACCCAGCCGGTCCAACTCGTCCTCTCACGCAGCAGCTGCGGGACTATCACCAGAACATGCTGCCCAATCCTTCACCGCCCTGCGCCGTATCCGTTCTGCGCGGATAACCTTTATTCCCGTTATCCTTGGACGGGCACGGCGTCAGGCCCACACGGGCCCAGAGCAAGCCGCATGTGCCAGCACCGGCCACGGGAGCACGGCTCAGACGTGTTGTGGAACAGCGGACGACGCGGCCAGCACCGGCCCACGGGAGCACGGCCCAGACTGTTGTGGAACAGCGGACGGCGCGCCAAAGCAGACGTCCTAGGTGATGCAACTCGAAACAGCTGGCTCCAGCACGAACGATTTCAGTCAGATAGCTGCACGCGCGTCTCGTCGCCGCCGGCCCGCAGCTGCAGCCGGCCATCAGCCGCCCGACAGTCGGCATCAGAGGGCGCGCCGACGGTGACGGCGGGCCGGCGCGCGGCGGGGACGCCGGACGGCCCGCCGCCGTCTCATCGGCATCCGAGGTCCGACGGCGCGGCCCGCGGCCCGCGGCGCTCCGCACACCAGCAATGCCGGCGGCGCGGCGAGAATGCCGGGGGAATCCGCGGCGGCAGGTGCAGGCCCTGCCGGCCCGCGCCGCGCAAGGGGGCGACCCGGCTCAACGGAGCATGACTGGGTCATGAGTTCCAGGAATGATGCAAATGAATTGCGATGAATGCGGTGAGTGATGTCATCCTGTTAAAAAAATGCTGATCACGAGCGCACAGGTCTGGAGACCGTTCGTCCATGGCCATATATGCCCAGGCAAATGTCAAACAGCGGCATGGTACGGAATCATGTATTGGCGACCTGAAAATGAGACAAGGTATGCGCCAGTGCCAGTTAAATGACCATTTCCCAACTCTCAGCCAGACCTGAGTCCCACACGACCCGACTCCGTGTTGAGTGCGAGCCGGTGATCGTCTGATGTCCGACCAACCGGCCGCGTGCGAGGGTAAAACTTGTACGGATCACGAAATCTCGGTCAGAGCACGTCAAGATGTTGAGGCTGTCACGGAAGCGAGAACATGAGAACCAACTGAATAGAAGTAACCCACACAGGACGGGCCACGTGTCGCACTGCGATACTGAGCAATAGATGCACGAGTAGGCAAGAGGTACGTCGGTAATATAAGCACACCCCGAACACGAAACACGAGCACCCATGCGCGCAGCACCCCACCAGCACGTGCCGGCGAAGCTCAGTCCAGCGCGCTGTACCGCGCCCTCAACATCGCGCACGGGTGTGCCAGACTACAGCCCGTGGTAACTGCGGTCCAGTGATCTCCAGCTGGTCAGCCACGGTCTGTGCGGGTCTGAGGTCCGTCCGGCCCGGGCCTCCCACTGACGCCTGCGCGCGGGAGTCGCGGGGGTTGCTTCCCCGCCAGACAGGCGCTGACGGCGGTTTGAAACGAACGACCATCGCCACACCCGCCGCCGCCGCACCGCAATCGGCTCAGGCTGACGGGCGGGCCGATGGCAGCGGTGTCCGCGCATCACCGACCGCGCTCTGCATAACCGCAGACAGCGCCGGCTCTGCCCGTCTGCTGGGACGTTCGCCGGCTAGTTCCCGTGCTGGACGCGCGGCGCCATCCTCGCGGCCGGCTGCACCACACCCGCCGGGGCCCGAGGCTTCCAGCGCTGTCCAGGGAAAGGCCCAGAGCCGCACGCGTCTCGACGGTCACCACGGCGTCCCGACGCAGCCTGGCGCAACACCCCTCAAGCCGCGCCGTGGCGTCAAACGCGCAGCGTGCGTCGGCGTGCGACTCCCGCAGCCGTGGTCGAACACGCGCCTCCTACACTCGAGGCAAACTTCCCACATCGCCCTAATTTCTCCAGCGCGGTGCGTAGAATATGTACTGTATAACACGCGGATTACACTGCCAGCACGGCGCATTGGCCGCGCCGACAAACATCCTGAACGCCGGCGCTAAAAGGCAGCTTTGTTTTGACGCTGATCTGACACAACCGGCCCGAAAAAATCAGCATATTTTCTCAAGGTTATCCGACAAACCAGGCACTAGGGACATCGGCAACCACTCCAGCACCATGACTAGATCTGCTAAGTTCTCGGGGGCGATACATTGCAGGGGACGGGGCACAGCCCGGTACGCCAAACTAGCGGCCGTTCTCCAGTAGCTCAAATATTCTCCAGATTCGTTCGCTGAACCTGTTACGTTCGACGCCTGACACGGCAATTAACTGCCACGAATACGAACTAAAACGAGTTAATAAATAGAACACCATTCGCGGGAAGCCTGGCGTGATACAAAACCGCGTAGGGCAAGGCACATCTACGCAATCCCCAGTCAGCTAGGAAAACATTCCGCGCATGATTTCCATGGCTGCCACCAAAATCACGACATCCGATCTCACCCACGCGACCAAGGCACGGGAGATGTGGAACGCACGCTAAGCAATCACCCCGCCCGGCTTTAAGCGCCGTATAAAATCTACCGTCCACCAATGTCGGCAAACAGCCGACGCTGGCGCATGAAGCTAGGCATTCGACTGCACGCGACACATGAGCAGCCCGGGCCTGCTCACCACCACGGCTCGACACCCAGCTGCCTGGTCCCGGCACGGTCCCTGTTGTGTACCGCAGCCGAGTGGTCCAGACAGAGCTCGCGCCCTGCCCTACCTAGTCAGAGCGTCGGGATCTGAAGGCGGCGGCGGCGGGACCGGCGCTGGCCGCGGCAGGTCTCTAGGTGTGTACCGCAGCCGAGTGGTCCAGACAGAGCTCGCGCTCTGCCCTACCTCGTCAGAGCGTCGGGGTCTGAAGCGGCGGCGGCGGGACCGGCGCTGGCCGCGGCAGGTCTCTGGTATGTATCGCAGCCGAGTGGTCCAGACAGCTCGCGCTCTGCCCTACCTCGTCAGAGCGTCGAGGTCTGAGGCGGCGGCGGCGGGACCGGCGCTGGCCGCGGCGGCGCGCTCCTCCCCCCAAACGGACGCCATCCGCCAGAGGGCCGGTCGTCGTCGGAGGACTCTCCACCGCGGCGCAGGCGCCCAGGTCGGCACCGCCCCGCCGGCGGCACTCCACCCGACGCGGGCCCCCGCCTGGCAAGGGTCGCCAGCCAGCGGGGACTCGACAGGGTCCGCGGCCAGCGGGGGCCGCTGCTCGACAGGATCGGCGACGAGCGGAGGCCGCTGCTCGACAGGATCGTCCGCCAGCAGGGGTCGCTGCTCGACAGGATCGGCGGCCAGCAGGGGCGCCTCGTCGGCGGCCAGCAGCGGCGCCCGCTCGGCGCGCGTGGTCCTGCCGATGGCCAGCGCCGCCAGCCGCGCGGTGTGACTGTACTGAACTGCGAACGGCTCGCTGATGCCGTACACGCCGCGGCCGTTCCGACCGAAGTACACCAGCACGTAACTGCCTGCAAGGGACGGTCGGACTGCGCCTGAGACGGCAGAGCTGGGCTGCGGCAGACGGTCAGCCACCTCCAGTGACTTCAGCATCACACAACACGATCCGCAGACTGCAATAGCGAACACAAACGCAACCGCGCCAAACGCCCAGCCTTAAAACACAACTACGCACGAACGTTCTTTGTAGCACCTCACATGAGTAGACCAGAGATCACGAGGGACGCCACAGAAGGCGACTCTGTCCCCTAACTGCTGGCTGGTCAGTTGCCTAAGCGTCCTGTAAATCATCAAAGGGCTAGTCGTGTATCCCTGGGCTCTAGCATACACCCGACGCGAGAGCCGGGTTCAACCAGGGCAGCGGCCATTGCGCCGGGAAGCGGCGGCGCATAAAGCCGACGCGCAGGGTACACAGCACGCGCCCTGGGTGCCGCCGGCGTTTCGCCTGACTTCAGACGGGGCTCGGGGGGTTCGCGATGCGAGGCTAAGCTTTACCGCGCGCTGAGCGGCGGCCAGAACACGGACAAGCCCGGCAAGATGGCGGTCCCACGGTCGCCGTGAAGCATCGCCGAGCCGTGAGTCAGGTGGGGAGAAGGTCGCGCCGCCCGTCCGGCGCCGGCGCCGGCCGGACGGCACGGAGCCAGGGTCGCCCCTACCCCACCCCTCCGGTCAACCACAGCATTGGCCGGCTCAGACCCGCCCGCCCCGGCCAGCTCGACGGCAGGCGAGGTGCGGCCGGTCCGGCGGCGGCCTGCTGCCGGCGGGGCCGAGGCGGCGGGCAAGGCCGCGGGCATAGCGGCCACCGACCGCTGACTGGCCGGGGACGGCAGACCCCTGACCCAAACATAGGTCATGGTGCCGGCCGAGGTGACTGGTTGGCAGCGGAAGGATCGGAGACGCGCCCATGCAATGGTCATTACGCTTGCTGATTCAATCTCGCGTGGTCATGGGCATCACGGAATCAGGGACAACTGCTTGCAGCAGAGAAAAAAAAACAGAATAACTTGCGTTTTCAGCGTTCTTACTGCCTCTCGATCACCGGCAACAACTGACCAATTTGAAGTTCACCGACAGCGCTAAATCAGTCGGAAGGCATCCCGCTGTGCATGCATCAACATCGCCACGGAACCGCATGCATGCGAGGCTGGAAGACTCATACTGATGTAATCTTGAATGGCCTCGCTCGAAAGCACGCTTACCTGGCACGGTGACACTGTCCTCCGGAAAGACGGCCACGTAGTGGTCCGAATTGGGGGACGACGTGGTGCGCGGCGCCCATATGTAGGATATGTACTCGTCCAGGCTGGCAAAGTTCGCCTGTCGACAGACACAACGCGCTCGTCATCACACAAGGCAGCGTCTCGCTCTCACCGGGATCATGCATTCCTGAGCCGTATGTATTACGAAGGAAAAACGGCCTCGCCAAAGAGGACTTCAATCCGCTCATGCTCTGCACCTGCCGGCTATGTCCTAGCGGTCCCAAGTACCGATTATGAATATGCCGCGCTCGTCCTTGCCAGGCCGCCAACGAATATAACTAATAACGGTGACAATATAACGGCGAAGATAATCTGACAACTACGTCGGCCCCCACAACAGGACTTCTCGCACGATCTCGTGATCGTGCGAGCAGACCACACTAAATGCAGATCATCACACCGGGATGATGTCACCCCTTCGGCACCTCGTCAACAAACTGAGGACAGGGGGGGGGGGGGGCGTCACGGTGGAATCATGTTTTCACAGCGGGATGATGGCATCTTGACTCGGCAACGATATCGCAGCGTGTGGGAGCCACCATGGAAGCGCGCCGACACAGCAGGACAGCCGTGCCAGCGAGGAGCACCACGGGTTGCCTCCACAGGCCGCCCCGGGGACTCACTGGGGTCCTCTCGTGCGGCGTGGCGCTCAAGGCGCTCGCAGGTCGCCAAGGACACGCTCAATGAAGGACGCCCCAGGGACTCACTGGAGTCTTCTCGTGTGGCGCAGCGCTCAAGGAGCTCGCAGGTCGCCAAGGGCACGCTCAATGAAGGACGCCCCAGGGACTCACTGGAGTCCTCTCGTGCGGCGCGGCGCTCAAGGCGCCCGCAGGTCGCCAAGGACACGCTCAATGAAAGATGCCACGTGCAAGCGAAGGCGGAGGGGCACTACAGCGTTCAGACAGACCTGCTCTATTTGGGCATCATACATATGGAGCGTGAAGTTGACAATGATGTGTCGTGAAGGTAGCCAGCCGCTATGAGCTGTTGTTTTTGCGCATGGAGATTTCGAGAGCGAGTCTAGGTCCGCATGCCAGCACAGAAATGTAGATGCGCTGCCGCCTCTGCGCGCCGTAGTCGATGCACGGCACCCCGTATACTTTTCCACTGAGTTCTGCCTCGTCCTTGACATGTGGCAGCAATGAGTCAATGTGGCAGCCGGGGACGGGGGCCGCGGAAGTGTGCCCTTCCCATGGCGAGTCGTGCCCGGGCGGCCGAATGACACAGGAGTGAAGCCCGGCACGCGGTTACCACGGAGAGTGTCACGCGGCGGACGACCGCACCCGAGCCGTCCGGCACCGCAGCGCGGCTCCGCTCCAGAAAACCCCAACGCCGCGCAGCAGCAGCGTCACCTGCGAGGAGAGCCCCGTGCCGCCGGTCGGGAGCAGCCGGGACGGTCGTGCGGTCGGCTCGGAAGCGTGTCGGCCCAGGGGCCGTGCCCCCGACGCGTCATCGTGCTGGGCAGCTGGGCGCGGCCGGGCGGCGCAGTCCACCGGGCGCCGGTCAGCTGCGCCGCCGAGGCTCCGCGCACGCCGCCGACATTCCGGCGGTGCAGGGCTCAGCATAACAATCACACAGGCTGGCAACAAACCCGCCTCAACCAGACACCTGCAGTCAGGTACCCGGTGAGAACCCGAGACAAAGGCCGAGATAGCGGAGAATGTGGCCGCTCCGACCAAGTATGAGGCGTGGAGTGAACATCGTACACCCGTTTCTTTAAATTTAATCCAAACCTTTTGAATAGATCGATCACCTGAATCAGAGGTCACGTTAAGCAGTGCGTGTTGTGTGAACCCTGACCCCTATCATCCGATCGCGCAACTCCAGGTCAACGGCAGAATTTGGAGAATTTTGGAGGATTTGGAGAGAATTTGAAGAACTTCGGCGGCGAAAGTCCAACGTGCCGCAAATCTCGGAAAGTTCCGCCCTGGCCTCTGACGTCACCTGACCCATAGCGCAGCTACTGCCACCGACCGCTGGCCACACTGTCAAGCAGCGAGCGCCTAAAGCGACTCGAGCCCACCCCTCCCCAGGTGGGTGGGTCGGAAGGCAGGCGCTCTAACCAACTGGTCCATCGGGACGGACGCTCCGTTCTCCGAAAAAAACTCACCTATCCCACCCTCACATAGTACGACGTCGCAAAGCCCCGAGAAAGCAAAGCAGGCGTAGTCTTTTTAAGTAGGCATGTTGACGTTTCGCGTGTCACCATTATCCCTCCTAGATACACTACCCGACGGTGAAACACCACGGCACGACGAATGGAACGCCTTCGCAAATGGCGGATGGTGTAGCTTCAGACTTTTTCATAGAATGCAACTGGTGATTTCCTATTTTTAGTTTTCCTCCACGACAAACGGGCACATAACATTGAGCTATGTGCAGATGTATTTTGTCGCGACCCATTACACAGAAACCATGTCGTGTTCATTGCAGTTCTTATGCCCAACTCATTCCTTAACAGCAGCTGCGTTACAACTGATGACTTCGTCGGAGACAACATATCAGGAGTCATCAATATGTAGAATAACGCGAGACGTCAGGACAACCGGACAGCGCCGGGCCAGTGAATGCCGGAGGGATCCGTGCCGTCGACCGTGAAATGTGCGCCCGCTGCCGCAGGCGGACCATCCGATGGCTGGGCAACCTTGAGCACATCTGTCCCACCCGTGGCCCAGGGAAAACGTGCATCACTCTTGATCTACTGCCACAGGGGTTGAGTCACAGCATGCGAGCGCCGTCTTTCCGATCGGTGCCCATGCAAAGGCCAGCTGTGGGCGGCCCAGGCGATCACAACGCCTGTAGTGGACATGGACCGTTGCGCGGTACGCAAAGCATTCCTCCGCGGTCCCGTCTATCGGAGAGACGTCGCCCCTGGCGGTGCATCTCCAGGTGGGGGTTCACGGTCAGTGCAAAAAGCTCTGTCCATAATACAGGTGAACCTCAAAACTAGCGCACGGCACCGAAAATACAATAAACGCAACCGAACACATGCCATGGGGATTAACCAGGTGTAAAGGCCAACCGCCGAGCATTTGAGTGGCTACGTGGAAAACGCTGCCAATTCTTGATACGCGCCGACTGGAGATAAGAAAACATCATCCCTCACAAGCTTTTGCATCACGCTGTACGATATGGAGAGCACTGACCCGTCGCCACAAAGCTAGAGAGACCCCGACGCACGCTGTGTGCAGAAAGCCCAGTGTCAGCTAGTGAACACGTTGCGGTGCGAGTTGTGCAGGGGTCTCAAATTATGAGTGACACACGTGCGTCACGCCGCACAACATGCGCACGTCCCTTCCCATTTGAGACACCCGCGTGGCTTGATCCGAAATCTACACATACCTGTTACAAACACTTGAACCCCAGCGGCGCGAGAGAGGGAGAACCTCAAAGGCGCATTCTTCTGTTTTTTTTTTGTTTTTTTTTTTGTTATCCCATCAATTTTCTCTAGCCTGCTAGCTAGCTAGGCTAGCCCTGGGAACACGCGGGTGTATTTTTGAACCGTGGCAGGCTGCATACTGCATATTCCATATACAAAATACACAATCCACATGGTAAGGACCAGGAGCGTTTTCTAATCGTTCTGGTACACAGCGCCTACATGGTGAAGACACAGCACGAACGAGACCCAACCGTTGCCAGCGTGACGCATTACCATTTACCTCATGGATGGCGGTTGTCGGTCCAGACAGTCCATCTGCAAGTTTGTCTGATGCTGTGATGTCTATTCTTTCACAGAACTAATGAGCTCCATCCGACGACGGCAAAAATACACAGCTCCCGGACATCGGTTCGTGTGTAACTCGATTTTAAGCGCTGAAAGTCAACCGCAGCATCAGATCTGCTGCATGCCGTGGAGATCATGAATCGGCTAATAATTGCGGCAGACGGTCGAGAGGAAATCGGCTAATAATTGCGGCAGAGGGTCGGAGGGAAATCGTGAAGACCCATCAAACACCGACAACACCGACAACAAATCGTCAGCAGGCCTACACAGCCAACCGCTGGCAGTTTGGAAAGTCACAGCCCGTGAGTTCAGAGCCCGAGAGCCGGCCCCTTCCCAACCTCACGAGGGCCAAACAACCGACACCCTACAGCCACCCACGGAGCTTTAGCTCACGCGACGTTTTAGGTTCAAGTTTTATGTTTGGGTCCGCGCGGAGTACTTCCGGACGTTTAGGTGGCAGTGTTCACGAATCCTCCCCAGCCGCGGTCATCGCGAGGCGCCGGCTAGCGGCAGGCGGAAGCTGGATACGTGGGAGGCACCGCACGCAACAGCCGGTGGGACGCGGCGCCGCGGAGGCGCACGGCGCTAGCCGCACCGGGCACCACCCGCCGGACTCGCGGCGGGCGCCGCAGCGCTCCGAGGACGCGACTGGCGATCGGCACCGACCGTCACGCGACGGACTGCGGAGCGTGGACGGCGCGGGGCTCTCACCCTGAAGAGGGCGATCCAGTCCCAGGCGGAGATCTCCAGGGCGCGGTCGCACCGGTACTTGGCCACGCAGTCGGAGCCCACCAGCCACATAGAGATGGGCAGGAACTCCACGCAAGGCAGCGGCCGGCCAGAGAACACCTGCAGCACCGCACACACACTGCTGCTACAGGAGTGATCCTGAAGGGCGCATCACCGGCCCGGGCCCCACAGGCGCCGACCACGGGGCTAAGGCATTGTCAACTCCAATATACCCAAACCGATAATTACATGGGTGGAGACAGGTGGCTGGCCAGACGCTGTGTGCTTCCGTCAGCTCACTTCGATGTTCAACTCGGCACGGACAGATCAACTATCGGACACTGTGCGCTATGGTTATCTCATCTGGACAGAGACGGGCTTGGTCGGACACTGTGCCACTACGTCAGCTCACCGATGATCAGCCCGCCAGAGACCTTCCGCGGCACCGTCAGCTCACCTTGACGCGGAACTCGGCGGAGACCGGCTGGTGGTCGGACACCGTGTACTCGGGGTGGCTCTGGTAGCTGAGTGGCTCCATCGTCAGGCGTGTCTCCTCGTACACGTCCGCGTTGACCTTGTACAGGATGCGGTCGGTCCAGGCCGGCCGGCGGCTGTGGCCGATGGGCGGCGTCACGTATCAGACGACAGAGCGCCAGCCGCACCACAGCAGCCAGAGCAACCGGCAGAGCGCGCAACAGCGCCGGTCTCGGTCAATCATCAGACGACAGAGCGCCAGTCGCACCACAGCAGCCAGAGTAAACAGCAGAGCGCGCAACAGCGGCCGGACTCGGCCACCATCGAGACAATCGGCAGACAAGAACAAGCAAGCCCGAACAAACACCACACCGCAGCCATGTTACACCACAGCCCACGCTTTTTACCGAACACCCAGTGAGTCTGACGACACAAGCACACGACTTTCCTCTCGTCCAGCACTGCCCAGCATTGCAAGCGTGCCAGGAAGACCGCGGCTGCCGCCGGAGGGAGTCAGGGCCAGGCTGCAGTCTCAGCCGCCTGCCGCGGCCAGAGCGCCCCGCGCCGCGACTGCCGCTCACCTGGTGGCGTACAGGCCGCGCCGGCCCGGCACCAGCTTGTAGGTGGGCTTGAAGGTGAGCGTGGGCTCGCTCAGCTCTGAGAAGGCGTTGCCAGGTGCGGCGCGCCCAGCGCAGCTGATCCAGCTCGAGCAGCGGTGTCAGCTGGTGCTCATCGGCCAGCCGGCGCGCCGCCTCGTCGTCGGGCGCGCCGCCCTCGCCGCTCGACAGTCGGAAGTTCATGTCGCCCAGCCAGATGAGGTAGCTGTCGGCCGTCGCACGATGGGACATGTGAGAACAGGCCTCTGGCCTGACCGGGCGCAGTGCGAGCAGAGGCCCGCAGCACGGCGTCACAGGGAAAATTGTCTGGGCGGAGGCTGCACCTGGGCCCGACATGGCGCATCATCACCTCCAGCAGTGACGGCCGTCATATGCATGCGTGATAGGAAAGGATTGGGCGGCATAGGATGGATACAGCATAGGACTGAAGTCAAAAGGATTCGTGTCCATGTGCACGCATTGGAAGAAGCCGCCTTGTAGACGGTTTCCTCTGCGTGCTGCGTGACTGGACTTTCGCTGCGTGTATTGTGCGGACTTGTGCGACGGCTCTGCAGCGTGCTTAAACGACCATACACTCTGCGTACACTGCGCGCGTTTCACCAAGCAGGCAACGTCTGCGCCCACACTGCAGGGGTTCGAGACAAACAGCATCCTAGCTGATCAAGAGTTCAAGAAAGCTACTTTTCGCAAAGCACGATGTTGTTCTTGTCCTACCCATCACACCAAAAACCACCGGGTTCGCACCAGCCGCAAAATCGGAGTACCTAACAGCGAACCACCGGCCGGCCGACGCCGTCCCGTCCCCGGCCCCGCCGGCGGGCCGGGCAGCGGGCGGGCTCACTCGTGGTACAGTAGCTTGGGCGTGGCCGGGTGCTGGAAGTTGGCCTGGCTGAGGATGTCGGTGTAGTTCTGGATGCGCTCGGCCAGCAGGTGGTCGTGCGCCGCCAGGTGACAGTTGACCAGGCACAGGCTGACGCCGTTCAGCGAGAGGCGCAGCGCCACCGCGCCCTTGTTGCCCTGCCGGCCGCGCGCGTACGGCCATCAGGGCAGCACGCGCACGGCACCAGGACGGTGCCGCTGGCACCGGCGACGGCGCGCGTCTGCCGCTGGCTAGCCGCTTGCTGTCCGGACCCAAACACCACACTCCTAGTCCACCTGGCACCGCTTTAATGAGCTACATCGGAGCCCTACAAGAATGAACGTGAATTGCTTCGACATCCTCCGCCACGGTCCATGTAAGCTCACAGTCCTCGAGCTCCAGCAAAAGCTAAAGTAACCTGTCTATCGAGTAAGCCTACCTGCCTTCGCAGCCACCATCCCCCGCCTAGACGACGACAGGACTCACCCACATCCCGCCGAATCCGAGCCGGACGTACTTGTCCTCGACCTCCCTCACGTGCACCACGTGCCGGCGCAGCACGTACACGGACAGCACGATACCCTGCAGCCGGATAGGTGCGCAGCTTGACGTAGCCCCGCGGCGCCAGCGTCAGCCTGCCAGCGGCCGACACCGGCCGGTCAGACGGTGGGCGGGCAGGCGGGCGGCGCGGCCACCGGTTCCAGGCCCAGACCAGGGCCGGACCAGACCAGACCAGGCTCAGGCGGCGGTCGGCCAGCACCGTCCATTACATTCGTGCCAGCTCCAGTTTCCAACTGCACTAGCCTGCGCCAGCTCGGAATAGAAGACACTGTCAAGGCGCCCGCCTTTCGACCTGAGCTCGTGTAAGAAAAACAGTGTAACCTAATTACCAGGAGCGACCGGGCCAGACATGCTGGACTAGTTTGCTATGGTTGATGGAGTGTTGGAGGAGGAATGTAACCTGTTGTTAGGAAATAGGTGAGCAGATTCTGCGGTCCGGTGGTGTGGACTTAAGACCTCAAAAGTACTGCCTCCCTAGTCTGCAACACCTGACGACCCCAGAATCTGCTGCGGTTCTGTACACTTCAGCTGTTGCGGCCAAGAGGTAATACCGTTGAACTCTTTTGCCAGCGTTTTGCGGAGCTGCGGCTTGAATGTGGTACCCATTGGCTGTAACAGCTGATAGCTGCTGCTGGAAATCTGCAACGAAGTCCTGCGGCCAAACTGTGGACGGGTTTAAAGCGATATGGTAGCTGACAGTTATGTTCCCTAATCAATTGGACTACAAAATATCTCGTATCCAATTACACGTCTGGAAAACACGCCATCGTAGTTCTCACGAGGCAGGATTTCGACGGGGTGACGGCATCTGCCAGTGTCGGTGGCCGACGTTGGCTGGCTTCCTTAGCTTGGTGTTTGGTGTGATCTACACAGCTGACAGCTGTAACCTCTGTCATCGCTTCGCTCGTGCCGCACCACACGAGGCATCTTACAGGAGATGGATATGCTGTGTGCTCCCATTGTACAACAAAGTACAGCATGTGACAAACAAATTTGGGGGACTTACTTGAACAGCGTCGACCATGGATCGTCAAAAAGTGTGTCATACACGTAGTTCTGTGGCTGTGACTTCACTTCTTGACATCTGCAAAACAGCGCCAGCAGAATGAGCCACCTTATTAAGCTTTTGATCATATTCAAAGCAGCAAATCATTTTTCATCAACACATAAATGCACTAGTGGCTTCACTGTCATGACCTGAGGAACAGCAAAGCTGTACTGGTGCACTTACCCAACAACATAGATGTCTGGATGGGATGCCTGCTTTGTGTTGTCCTCCAGACCAAGAAGTCCAGTGAGGTTGGTCCTCATGTTTGGAAAGAGTGTTGCCACATTGTATGTGACCACATGGATCCTGAAAAGTATGAAGCTTGAATTACTTCTAGCCAAAATCCTGGACAGTATGAAGCATGCAGTACTTCCAGCCAAGAACCAAACAATATATGCAGCATGTCATCCTGCCATCCTGGACAGTATGAAGCTCATATCACTTCCAACCAAGAACCAGACAATATATGCAGCCCTGCCATCCTGATACCATATCAAAACATGAACATGTGCATGATATATAGATAGATGGGAATTACCTGTGTCCCTAAGCCAGTTTCAACTGCCTGACTAATATCAAGATCTTGATATAACAATCATATAACACAATTGCAAGATCAAGGGTCAAGGTCACACCATGCTAGATCACCAGGTCACTTCATCATATGTGCTTCTGGCTTTCCCAATTCATGTGATAAACAGAGGACATTTGCCAGGGGATGTTTAAGTTAGGGCTTAGTGAGGCTCAACATACACAAATTACAAATAACTATAATGCAATGCTTATAAGATAACTTTACATGACCTCTGAGGTGATCTGGATTGACCTTACATAGTGAGTGACAATGACTGGCAAAGTAAAACCAGTATATCTTCTCCACCAAAGCAACCCAGAACAAGAAAGAAAATTTCCAATTACTGCATATACAGACAGAGAGATCAGTGGTCTTTGGCCTTTGCTGATTATGACAGAACCCACTGACCTGACTTATTATAGATCATATAAGCCTCCCAGAATGTGCTTAATTGGTCACCTGTCAGGTAACAGCATTTCTCTCAGTGACAGTTTAAAAGCTATGCCAGAAACTCTAATGTGGTTGCCTTTTAAGCTGCAGACACAGGGAGGATGTCAATCATGCCATGTCTATCAGCTCAGTCTCCCAAATGGTACAGTTGTGAAATGATCACACACAGAGTTCATTACAGCCAACACATTCTACCTTTAACTGATGCAAATTTCTGCTATCAGCCATGATATTATACTTACTAGCAGCAGGGTTAGGTATGTTAGGTTAGGTAGGTTAGGTAGGTAGGTATGAATGCTTGTCCACTGTAGCACAGCCTCAGCACTCCACTGACAGGAAAGAGAAAGGCACAAACTGGAGCAAGTTCAATACCTTATTCTCAAATTGAGTATAAACTGCTTGACAGAGGCTAATGACAATAGTGAGCATCCACAACCAAATAGCAGTTCATTAAATCAAGTGGAATTAAACAGAAAGTAATTTACATAGATAGTAAGTTAAAGTAATTTACACCAGAAATTAACACCACTCAATGCAAATAATTTAGAAATAACAACACAACACAAAGCAAGAGGCAGTGACCTAAAAACAGTGCTGATTGCTGCTCGATTGTCAGGTCCAAGCAACTGTCCAGCCTCCTGATAGGTAGTGCTGGAACCTGGTGGTGGCAGAGTGCCATGAGCAGCTCACCACTGAGAGCAAACACTGCCACACCAATCAAACTGATGTTCCCATGCGGCTCCTAAATCTCCTCAAACTGTAAACCTTTATGCATGCATATCTACAGCTATTAGCTACTAAGGTACTCACTTCATGTCATCCATGGGCTGTGCCATGCTTGGGTGTTCACAACAAATGAACTGGAAGCATAAGTCCACCTGGCAAGATCCACAGACCAGCAGTTATGTGAAGCATTGTCAAACACTGTGAAGCAATGAAGGTGATCAGAATGAATAGCACATCAAACCTACTGCATAACACAAAACACTTCACATGTGGAAACAATATGGTCACATAGATCAACAACATGCCTGAAACTGTCATGTCTGAAAACATTGGGTACATACCATATATATATATATATATATATATATATATATATATATATATATATACATAGCATACTTTGTCACAGCAATAGCTCACAGCCTGGTCTGCAAAAAAAAATCACATCCACAGCATCACAAATCTATGACATTGATCTGTGAACCACCCGCTAGTGTGCACCAAGCCCTACCAGTCCACATTTTATCACACCTTCAAGATGTCATGGGATTCCAAATGCTTGCAAAGCACAGTTGCCTGAAACTATGCCTGCAAAACATAATTCCAGGAAACCTTGGCTCCCTGCACACTGAAATTAAAGGAAGACTGTGCACCAAACCTTGAGACAAGGTGCCCTTGATTTACAGCAGTAAATACAACAATTTTTGTGATGCTGCTCCTGGATGCTGCCGCTGCTATGCTGGACATGATCCGCAAAATTTATTTCATGCAGTCTGGTTCACAGCTCACAGAGCCCCTCCCACATTTCTATCTCAATGCGTGAGTCACGTGCCACAACTGAGATATCTCCATAGGCATTTCTATAACATTGTGAGTGGGTGACGTTTTCTCAATTATTACCTAAGTCATATTAGCTGAATGCATTTAGCTTTAATATGTAATCAAATTACACGTGCCACTAACCCAAGTACATCGCCAGCAGTCCCGCCCGTTAGATAGCCTTGGTCCCGCCT